GGGGGTATCTGTAGGCGTCGAAAATTACCTATAGGTCTCCACGAACAGCTCAAAGCTAAGAGAAGACGATGAACGTTACTATCCAATTCACAGAAGTTGGATTGACGTCGATGAACGTTTAAAGTGAATCGACGAACTACGTGAAGTAATGGAGTTTGAAAATAACGAGGATATGAACTGATCGGGTGTCTCGGCCTCGCTGAGACGCCCGAGGGTGTCTTAGACCCTAAAAATCGGATTTTTTGGCTGTTATGCGGTTTTAACCGCCTGGATTCCCCGGAGCCTATAAATACAACCCCAGGACCTTCATTTTTTAGGATCTAGAATTTTTGGAGAATTGACGAAGCCCTACCAGACTGAAGATTGATCAAGTTCTTCAGCACAGGAGAGAAAGGTTCTTCAGATCTACATCGCCCGTGTCCGTTCCTTAGGATTATCCCGTTGCGGTAATCTTAAGAAGAGCAATTATCTCACCATTGTTGAGATAAGCGCTTCTGTTTCTAGATTCCTTCACGAATTGACGAAGTTTTGGATCTGATCTAATTGTCAGGTGGTCCACGGATATTGACGTCCCCGTCACCGGCCAAAAACCCACGCAAGCAAGAGACGACGAACAGATCTTGTGTTATTTTCGAGAGAGTTGTAATTCCTTTATTTCTTTCTTTTGTTGATTATTGAATTCTTTGTAAATGACTAAAGTTATAATGAATTCAGTAATAAAGGCAACTTTCAGTGAAAACAGTAACCTCGGAATCCACCAAGGGTGTTCTCTAAATCCACAAAGAACGATCTTCGAATCTACGAAGAACTTCGAATCCACGAAGAAAATATTGAAAAGAGAAATTTTATTGATGAAAAGTTATCTCTCTAGGGCTTACAAGACTCTTCTTAAATAGAAAAAGAAACAAGACTCCTACAAGGACTTTAATTCCTGCAAGGACTCAAACTTTACCAAAAATAGTAAAAGAATTCCTAAAATATTAAAACTCCTAAAAAGACTCCTTATGATTAGGAAAGTCCACCGGTCAAATCTGAGATCAAACCGGATTTGTTTCCTAAACAAAACAGACTCCTAAAATATTACTATGAGATCAAACCGGATTTGTTTCCTAAACAAAACAGACTCCTAAAATATTACTAAAAATAGTAAAAAACGAACAAAAATACAAATATCTCTCAAACCGTAAGGAATTTGACGAAACAAAAAACAAAAAACAACCTGAAGGGGTAAGTTTGGATGGCTCCGTCTCATCGAGATAGTCGATTTTCATATATAATTCATCCAATTCCGACGTACGGTTTGAAAGTTACGACCGTTTCTTCGAAACAAGTTATTTTCTTCGACCAGGCCCACATTTTGGCTTGCGACTGTCCCACTTTGACATAAACGTGTCTGCTGTGTATTCTACATCAATCCCCCTGCTTGAAAAGAACTCGACCCCGAGCTTACACTTGCATGAATAGCTGTTTCTTCTGGTGGGTAATACTCAAACAAATCTGCAACATTGAAACTAGGAGAAATACCCAAATCTGTAGGAAGGTCAACCACATAAGCATTGTCGCTAATCTTCTTTAGTATTTTGCATGGACCATACTTCTTATTATTCAGCATGTTGTAGGTGCCCACGGGAAAATGTTCTTTTCGCAGAAACACCATCACCATGTATCCTTCTTCAAACACCTTCTTCCTCCTGTGTTGATCAGCATCGGCTTTATATTTAGCATTAGACTGCTCTATCTTTTCCTTCACCTCGTACTGGATAGCACGTATCTTTTCAACCATATGAACCGCAGGAACACTCTGTCCGGGAAGCTTAGGCAATGGAGCAAGGTCGAGATAATGATTCGGAAGCCTTCCATACACAATCATAAAGGGTGCCTTGCTTGTAGTTCGACTCTCCATACAGTTATAAGAAAACTCAGCATGTGCCAAAGCAAGATCCCACTGTTTTGGTCGATCTCCAGAGATGGATCTAAGAATATTACCGAGTGTGCGATTGACCACTTCAGTTTGGCCATCTGTTTGAGGGTGATAGGCAGTACTAAACTTAAGAGAAGTATTGAATCGCTGCCACAAAGTTCTCCAAAAGTGAGATAAGAACTTAGAATCTCGATCGGATGTAATGGACTTCGGCACTCCATGAAGGCGAACTATCTCCCGAAAGAAAAGATTGGCAATATTGCTCGCATCTGCAGTCTTCTTGCACGGAATAAAGTGTGCCATCTTCGAAAACCTGTCAACCACAACAAAAATAGAATCCATGCCTCGTTAGGTTCGAGGCAGTCCTAACACAAAGTCCATAGAGATATCATGCCATGGTGCATCAGGAATAGGTAAAGGTGTATACAATCTCGTATTCTGAGACTGTCCCTTAGCAACTTGACAAATTGGACAACGCCGCACATATTTTTCTTCTCCCTTCTTCAACTGAGGCTAGTAATATCGTTCTTTAATGGCTGCAATTGTTTTATCACGTCCTAAATGTCCTTCTAGTTCGCCAGCATGAAGGTCTCGAATTATCTGCTCTCTTAGTGAACTCTGGGGTATGCACAATTGATCGCCATGAAATAGATAACCATCCTGAATTGAAGGAAATCGTGCTATGTCTACATGCATAATACACAGTGGAAGACATGTATGTACAAAAATACTAAGCATGTAGAGAGCATGAAATATTCATATGGATCGTCTAATTAAATCTAACATGATCCTTATTATTAAGTGAGCATACAAGAGTTAGAAAGTCATACTTTCGTAGCGTGATTCGATGGAAGATCGAATAACCCCTAGCTCTTGCTCCTTGTAGTAGAAAATCTCCTCGTAGTGGATCTCCAAGTCTTCAAGTGGGCTTGATAAAATGGGAGTCTTCTTAAGACACAAGGCAAGATATCCACCCCGGGATTCTAAAAATCCTACTACTTCCTCTTGCTCAAAGATTGCTAAAGTTTAGTAAGAGGAGAGCTCTCTTTTATTCTCTTATGGAAAAAAACACTTAGGCAATTTTTTATTTACCTTTCCATAAGAAAAAGTGCTCATATTTATAGAGTGAAATGTGTTCATGATATGAATAACTCATCCTATGAGTCATGCAATGAATCATTAAAAAATTAATGATTAATCAAGTGAGTCATGCAATGAATCATCTTATGAATCATTACATTTCAAAACCATGTGCTAATAAACCATGTGCTCAAACCATACCACTAAGTGACTCATCTCATGACTCATTATACATGGTATGTGTATTTTATAAATAAGAATACCAAATTATTATCATTAATACAGTATTTCATAAATACGGTATATAGTATTATTCCAATCTTTAACTAATTAGTCACTATATGACCAAATAAATCAAGAGTTGACCAAAAGTCAATTGTTGACCAAAAAGTCAACTAGTTGACTAAAAGTTAACTTTATAGGAAAAATACTGGAATTCATTTCCTAAGCACATAGCATTCTGATTTTACCGATATACATAACCGTTTATGTGTATCCGGAAGAAATCATATATGCGTATCAATCATACGCATCACTCCATAAATTGTGTTTCATAGGATTCAAGTACGCGCTTGGTGTGACTCTAGGGCCCAACTTAAAAAACTCGATAGTGGATCATATCCATAAGTACAACAGAGGTGCTAGCTACACATGAAGATCACCCGGGTATAAGTTGTGATAAAGGTCTGCAAGATGCTTATCCAATTTTATCAGGACACTCAATGATAATACCGTACAGTCCGATCTCTTCGTCAAACCATGTCAAACTATTGAGCCTAGGGTATGGCAAACTGGCAAACCCTAATAGCTTGATTAGTGTTTATTGATATTAAACTCATAACCTATAAGATCAAACTGACACTCAGTTTATCTTATTCACCTTGGCCAAGGATTTCCAGGCTATAGTTATATCAAACAATCTTATGACATCAACCCCTATACTGGGAGAGACGAATCCCTTCTTGGCATCTCAATATCTACTTATGTCTCGGGATGTACCCAACAAGAACCGTTATGCACAATTCAATAAGAACTGTGGTTAGGTAAAAGTCTAAATACATCTTTACTGACATATAAGATATTGCACTCATGCCTCAGGTCAAGAGACTACTATGTACTATATCACTTGAGAACTTCTATTTGACAGTTAAGTATATTACCAACTAGATGTTCTCGGCGAGTCGTTCAGTCAACTCATTCACTAATGAGTCACCTGTATACTGTATCTTGATGTCTCACATCAATGATCTAAGAGATTGATCATCTCCTTCAAAAGGAGAAATAAAGCATACACTAGTCTAAACCAAAGTGATGATGTCCTATCTCAACACTTCATCAACTAGGAACATTTTAGAATATACGTTACCGACTAATCAGATCTCTTCATTACGATCACTATCCGAAATGTCTGATAGTCTAGTATTTATTCTAAGGACATTATCTGTATTTTTAGAACATCAGATAAATCTGACCAAAATAGCATACTATCATTTTGAACAAGGATGTTATATACATATAGGTCCTGTTACAATATACAATAATTGCCTGCAGGGCACCTATATCTAACATGAATATGAAAGCCTTTGACTGATTTATTTTGAAGACAGTCATCCCAAATCTTCTTAAAATCTTCATCCTCTGCATACAGCTCCTTAAGGTACTCAAACCCAATCACTTCAGCCTTCAAAGTTACCAACAATCCAGCTCTCCTACTGAGTGCATCTGCAACCTTATTCTGTTGCCCGGATTTATGCTTTAAAACAAAGGTGAAACGCTACAGATATGCAATCCAACAAGCATGCATACGGTTGACGGTAGTCTGACTATTAAGGGTCTTCAAAGCCTGATGATCAGTGTGAAGCAGAAACTCTCTCGAGATCAAATAGTGCTCTCAATGCTTCAAAGACTGAACTATGGCATATAACTCCAGCTCATATGTGGTCCACTTCTGCCGAGCTTCGCTGAGTTTCTCACTGTAAAAGGTAACTAGACGCCCTTCCTAAGATAAAACACCATCAATTCCTATGATGGACGCATCATAATCAACTTCAAAGACTTTTTGAAAATCTGAAAGTGCAAGCATAGGTACGGTGGACAACTTCTCCTTGATCAGTGCAAAGCTACGATCTACATCTTCCCCCCAATTGAACTTCCCTTTTTTCATGCATTTAGTTATAGGTGCTACAATGCTGCTGAAATTTCTTACAAATCTCCTATAGAATGTTGCTAGGCCATGAAAACTACGAACTTCGCTGACAGTCTTCGGGGAAGGCCAATCTCTAATAGCACGAACCTTCTCTTCATCAACATGAATACCCTATGCACTAACAACAAAGCCTAGAAAAACGAGGCTACTGGTCATGAAGTAGCACTTCTTCAGATTGATGTACGACTTGTTCTTCTGCAAAACTGTTAGTACCTCCCTCAAGTGGACCAGATGTGCAGCCTCACTCTGGCTATAAATCAGGATATCATCAAAGTAAACTACGACGAACTTGCCGATAAAGTGTTTTAATACCTGATTCATCAATTGCATAAAAGTGCTAGGGGCATTAGAAAGACCAAAAGGCATGACTAGCCACTCGTACATGCCATCTTTTGTCTTGAAAGCAGTCTTCCACTCATCTCCTTCCCTAATCCCAATCTGATGATAGCCGCTCTTGAGATCTATCTTGGAGAATACTTTTGAACCAGATAACATATCTAGCATGTCTTCCAAGTATGAAATAGGAAATATATACTTCACTGTAATCTTGTTGATAGCCCTACTGTCCACACACATACGCCACTCTCTGTTCTTCTTTGGGACTAGTAGTGCTGGCACTGCACACGGACTCATGCTAGGTCGTATAAGGCCCTTCTGGATGAGATCATCCACCTGCTTTTGCAAAATCTCTTCTTCCTTTGGACTCATCCTATAGTGTGGCAAATTTGGTAGTCGAGATCCAGGGATAAAGTCGATCTGATGTTGAACGTCCCTAAGCATGGGTAATTCAGAAGAAAGATCATCAGGCATAACTGCATCAAACTGCTGTAAGAGGGTCTGTACTTCAGGTGGAATTTCGACAGTGGCAGACTCCTCTTTTCCCAAAACTACAAGGGCATAAATCTCATCATACTGCTTCACATCTTTCATAAAGCCTTCATTGTCAACGACTAAGAAATTCTTCTTTTCAGCCACATTAGTTTTGACAGGCCCCTTCTCGGTTAGAGGCTTGAGCACAATTCGGCGACCATCCTTCTTGAAGATGTAAACGTTATCTTTCCACCTATGCGTGGCATCAACATCAAACTGCCAAGGTATGCCTAACAACATATGACATGCATCCATCTCTACTACATCACACAATGCCTCATCCACATAGGTTCGGCCAATGGAAAAGGATACCTGACACACTTCATCAACCTGTACGTCATTACCCTTGCGAATCCAACCGATCTTGTAAGGAGCGGGATGCTTCTCCGTCTTCAGTCCTAACTTCTCCACCATGTGCCGAGAGACAATATTCTCGCTGCTCCCACTATCAATAATGACATCACAGATCTTCTGTTGCACCGTGCATCTCGTTCGAAAGATGTTATGCCTCTGTAGTGGTTCTTCTACTTTTGGAGCCAACAATAGTCGCCGCACAACACATAAGAGTTGTTCCCCATCATCATCAGCATCCAACCCATCATCATAGTCTTCAACATCGTCTCGGTCTGTATCCTCATCTTCATGATCCACCATGTTCACAGTACCTCTCTTAGGGCACTGATTGGACCGATGACCAGGCTGTCCACATCTGTAACACTTGATCGGGTCAGGCTTGGCATAAGGGTTCGTTGGGGTAGGCTTCTTTGCTGTTGTTGTCGTTGGACCCTTGCCCTTCTCTGTTGTTGCATCCTGCTCAGAAATAGTTTGAGACTGTTTACTTCCACCACGTTTGAAACTCGTGCACGACCCGTCGGAAGCTGCCCATGATCCTTTAATATTTCGTTCGAGTTGTCGCTCCACCTTCTTGGCTAGGCTAACTATATCTGCTAAGGTATAGGTCTGCTAAAGAGATACACGATCCTGAATCGCCATCCTTAATCCCCCTGTATATTGAGACATCTGTTGGGCCTCGCTCTCGTTCAAGTTGTTGTAGGATGACAGCCGATAAAATTCCCACGTGTACTCATCCACGGTTCTTCCACCTTGCTTACAATTTTGGTACTGCCCGAATAATACTTATTCATAATCACTTGGCAGAAAACGGGCTCCCAGTAGCTTCTTCATCTTCTCCCACCTTTCGACCTTCGGCTTCCCTTAACGAGATCGATTCAGACAAACAGATTCCCACCAAGCTGAAGCTCCACCTTTGAGTCGGTAGGCCACCAATTTTACCTTGCGTTCTTCTGGGATCTCCATATACTCAAAGAACCTCTCTACTTCTACAATCCAGTCGAGGAACTCTTCAATATGCAGTTGCCCGTTGAAAGATGGCAGATCCATTTTCATCTTGAAACCTCCAACATCATAATTATCCCTTCGTCGTCGGTCTCTGCGATAAACACTGCGGCGTGGGGGTGCATAATGATCTTCCTCGCTGTCGGAATCTTTATACGAAGTCGACTCACGTCGTTGGCGACCATCAACGCGATTTCGATCTCCTGTCATGTCCAGACGCTCTACTGCCGCAGCTAGTCGCTCCATGACAGTCTTCATCTGATTAACATCTGCCTTTAGCACGTCGAACTCAGTTCGAGAGATATGGGCTTCATCATCTACCATTGGATCGGAGGAACAAGGCTCTGATACCAATTGACGTAGCGCGGAAGTTGTAACCTCGGAATCTACCAAGGGTGTTCTCTGAATCTACAAAGAACGATCTTCGAATCCATGAAGAAAATATTGAAAAGAGAAATTTTATTGATGAAAAGTTATCTCTCTAGGGCTTACAAGACTCTTCTTAAATAGAAAAAGAAATAAGACTCCTACAAGAACTCTAATTCCTACAAGGACTCAAACTTTACCAATAATAGTAAAAGAATTCCTAAAATATTAAAACTCCTAAAAAGACTCCTTATGATTAGGAAAGTCCACCGGTCAAATCTGAGATCAAACCGGATTTGTTTCCTAAACAAAAGACTCCTAAAATATTACTAAAAATAGTAAAAAATTGACAAAAATACAAATATCTCTCAAACCGTAAGAAATTTGGCGAAACGGAAAACGAAAACCAACCCGAAGGGGTAGGTTTGGATGGCTCCGTCTCGTCGAGATAGTCGATTTTCATATATAATTCGTCCAATTTTGATGTACGGTTTGAAAGTTACGACCGATTCTTCGAAACAAGTTATTTTCTTCGACCAGGCCCGCATTTGGGCTTGCGACTGTCCCATTTTGACATAAACGTGTCTGTTGTGTGTTCTACATGAAGAGTGGCTAAAGTAAATCGCCAAAAATTAAAGCAGTTCATGACATAGTATTAATTATGCATAATTCTCAAATCTACATTTAACCTACCGAATTAATAAGTAGTTTCTAGAAAACTAGGAGTTCGGTCTCGCAACCTGTATATAGACAAATAGTGCCGCTGTCCAGAGAAGCCGTTGAATAGCCTTTGGAGGCTGCATATCCTACAAAAGTTTGCTTTGAGCATGCTAGCTTTCTAGAAAGGCGGGGACTAAACAAGAGTTAATTTAAAAATATTCTTTGAACTTTGTTGGATGTTGCTAACAACTGCGCGGACTATTTTAATTCGATAAAACTCATTGGAGTTGTTGCCAAAACCTCTTAAACTGTTTTATTTCACTAAAATGCTTTAATTTGATGTTCTCTACCAAAGTCCGCAAAGTTAGGATATTTCTTAAATTAAACTTGAAATTAATACTTACTACATCTAGAATAAACAAATTGAGGGTTTTGACCAAGTCCCTTAACAATTATTTGACAAACCATGCCATAGGATATTCCTGTCAAGCCCAATAATTTGACCTCGTCCCTCTATAAATCTCTCAAATTTCTCCCTGTCGCTTCATTAACATCCAATAATTCCAATGGCAACTTGTCTAAATACCTTCCTTCTACTCCTCGTTTCCTTATCCACCACCCTTCCCTTCTCGTCTCAATCTCCTCCTCCCCAAAAGTCAACTCACTTACACCTCTACTTCCATGAAATCAACGCAGGCCCAAACAAGACGACCACCGTTGTCATCGCACCCTCAAACTCAACATCCTCAGGATTTGGAACCATCGTAGCATTCGACGATGAGCTAAGAGAAGGGCCTGATCCCAATTCAAAGCTCGTCGGACGGGCTCAGGGGCAAGGGTCTGCAGTGTCAAAAGAGGAGCAGGCGTATCTTTTCAATTCTAACTTCATATTCGTGGAGGGGGAGTACAATGGGAGTACTTTAGCTGTGTATGGGAGAATTGTGATTGCTTCGAGCATTCGAGAGTGGAGTATTATCGGAGGGACTGGAGAGTTTAGGCTCGCTCGTGGCTATGTTAATGGAACAGTGCTTAGCTCGCGGGCGGGTACTCTCCTTATAGAGCTCGATATTCGCGTGTTGTGAATGTAAAAGTTATTCTTGTGTTGTTTTGAGTGAAGAAGGTGATTCTACTGATCATAAGAGAAAAGAGATGTCGCAGGGTTCATTTGCATTTTACCTTGAATCTATATATTCGTTGGAAATTTTACTTTTTTTTTTGGTTATGGAATAAGAAATTACTGTAGATTATTCATGTAATGTTGCCAATCAAGTTTGTTAAAGTTGGATAATCTTCACTGCAGCTTGGGCTGTAGAGGAAGTATAACTTTATTCAAAATGTTATACCATTTAATGAACGATGATAGGCATCATGAGTTTACTTTTTATTTAGGTATAAACGTTACAACTGTCAATAAACAATTACTTCAAATTGTTGAAGTACCTCAAAGCCTACTTGTCGTAAAATGGAAGCAAAAGTTCACTCCACAGGAAAGACAAGATTTTTTGAAAATATGGACATGTTAAGTCTCATGTTTATGAGCCTACTATATAATCTAGTTTTGATAATTAACAAGCAATTCTTAACATCGTTTGTCGAGTGTTTATTTTACTCGTTAGGAATCCTACACAAAGATCCTTTTTTGATGTTGGATGGAATTGACCGTAAACGACGATATCTTGGAGGTTGGTGGAAATCGGAATGAAGCAATCATAATTCAAGTTAAGATTCATCATCGCTTCATCCGCAACCAAGACGATCTATTGAAGATCATTTGCCTTGGGTATATTAGTTTTTAGTTTATACTTTATGTGTTAATACTTAAAGCTCATATCATACACATACACGTTATTTTGTTTTGTTACATTATACGCTTCTTTGAGAAAATAACTCACTCTTGGTTTATTGACTTTATGATACAGTTTTATATCTTTTATAAAGTCTATAAATCTATTAAAAAGAATCTCAAAGTTTTCTTGAAAGAATATAATTAAAAATTAAGTTTTTAAAGATTTCGTATCTTGAATAGTTTGCAAAATACATGAGTTTTCACAATTGAGAAATACAATTTAAAAAATTTCTTCCCTAACTTGTTCATCATCATATATACAAATATTTTCTCAAGTTTTATTAATTTTTGAGTTGTTTTTTTTAAATTAAATGTACAAAAACATGTTTTCAGCAATTTTTTAGAATCAGAAATATCTATTTTAAAACAGTGATTTCTCATAAATACAAAGTGATATTTTAGAAAAAAAAAAAATTCTCCAACATATTTATCTTCAAGTGTAGAAATATTGTTTCAAAGTTTACTATTTTTGAAGTTGATTTGTTATTTTTAATTGATTTTAGAAAATCATCTACGCAAAATTTCAGAATCTGTCGTGCATGTTTTTAGTTGACCGATGCATTTTTTAGTCGACCGATAAGCATGTCAGTCGACCGAACAGATGTATCTTTTAGCATTTTGAATTTTTAAGCCTATCAGTCGATCGACACAATGATTTAGTTGACCGATAACGGCTAGTTTGACCAGTAATGCCTAGTTTTGGGGTGTTTTGGTTTGGGAGGCTCTATATATGCCTCATAACTCTTTTGTTTAGTTCATGGATGTTTAAATTGAGTTTATATCAGTTTTTTTCAAGGTTTTAAGCGTGTTTTGGTTTGTGCAAAAGAGTTTAACAAAGAGAAAGCTTTCAAATCTCGCTTTTGAGGAGTTCAACCTCAACCATCCACATCTACTTCTCTTTGTTAAGATAAGTTTTTGTAAACTCATTCTGTAGCCTATTTATATGTTGATTATCATATTTAAGCTAGATTTATTTGAGTTTAATTTTATTATTTATTGATTGCACACACAACCTTTTGAGCTTTAGTATTTCATATATCGTATATTTGGGTTGTGGATTTGTATCATTGAGAGAGCTTAATTTTCGTTCTCACTTGTTTAGAGAATAAAAACTCTTATTTGTGCTTATCATTGAGAGAACACGTCGTAATACACAAGGAAACTTAGAGGAGTGGTTGGGAGAGACGGGGTCAATTCCAAGAGGAGTGGTTTGGTTGTAAAAACCTTGGGAGAGGTAGTAATTCCAAGCACTTGAGGAAGGTGACACAGACTAGGCCAACACATAGAGAATTGTAATATGTATTGATAATTGTGTGAGTTGTAAAAGTTTTCGATGGGCTAGAAAACCAATTGTGTCGTTGATTTTATGATTAGTGGAGAATCTCCTCGAGGGTGAGGAGCGGAGACGTAGGTCGTGGGTTGACCAAACTCCATGATCAATTTCTTGTGTTTGTGTTTGGCATTGGCGTATGTTTCTCTTATATCTTGTGCTTATTATTTATATCGCCTATTTTCATATTGTTCATCCTTGCATATAATCCTTTTGAATATCATTCTTGCTAGGATAATTAGTTAATAAGCTTTTATTTAGCATCGAAATTGGATTAGATTAGCAAATACCCTATTCACCCCCCTCTAGGGTACTTTCCGGACAAATATATACTTTGAAGTCCTCGATATTAGTGGCAAGTGGTACTTGGAAAAGACCTAAGTAAGATTGCGCAGGGGTTAATGCGTATGTATGTAAGGTGTTGGGGAATTTTTGTCTTCCTACCTACTACGATTTGCTCAACTTGGAAGCCAACCCATAATCAATAAGATATAAAATCACCACAATTAAGAAGAAAGAACACTGAGATTTACGTCGTTTGATCGACCAACTTCGACCTACGTCCACGGGCAACAATATGAGAAATTCACCATGTATCAGGGAGAACTACAAGAGGAACCACTCAACTCTCGTCTCTCAATCTCTCAACCTCATATACATAATCAAATCTCATATTATCTCCAAAGCCCTCTCCTTACAATCTTTTGAACGGACAAAGAGTACGAAACCCTCTCCCAATGTTATAATCTTTTGCACAGATAAAGACTATGAAACCCTTGTCTCTCGCACAATATTCTTGAATCAGGCTACGCCCTCTGCTAACCCTAGATTATAAGAATATTGGCCCTCTCTCATCTGTTTAGTTTTTCCTCCAACAATAGAAGAATACATATAATAAAACCAAAACCCTATCTCTAGCCTAACTTTCTAATTAGAATAGGATTCAAACTCCTAATCATGATGAGACTTAATCTCCTAGTGATGATAGATCTCTAACCCTATCTAATTCTCATGAAGTTCTATAAAGAATCAAAGACATAATCGTAATAATCTCCACTTTGGATTTGATTCCCAAACTCCCTTGAAGACATATCATCATCGTTTTGAAACTTTTCCTCTCCC